TAACAATATTCATTGCCACACAATCTATTTTTTAAGTATTAATCACATAAAACATACAAGGTGAATACTTAATTTATTTTGGGTCACATGTAGTGAAATAGACAATGTAACTTTAAAATATGCTTAACTTTGAAAGTTTTTTATTAGTTTTATTAGAACTTTCTTACTATGGTCATCTGCATTTTGTGTTAACATAAGACACATATTTTTGAAAGTACAAAGTTGTTTCATTTTACATGGTTTGAACTTGAGAAGATGGTATTTCTCAAGTTTCAAGACAGCATTTAAATGCATGGGACCATGCACATACTGGTGGAAGGATAACACAGTCCTACAAACTGGTTTTATTGGGTCCTATAATTTAGACCAAGTTGGAGGGCATGAGGGTTATGAAGCTCACAGTGTATAATCAAGGAAATCCTGCAGTCAGAATGTTTATTGCTTAAAGGTTTCAACAGAATGGTCTTAGGCATGACATACAAGAACTAAAAACATATCACAAAACAAATATGACATTTATGTGGAACTACAACATCCAACAGGCTTACAATATTTAATCCAGATCTAGTAACATGTTTCACAAGTTCTAAGACCAGGTATGCCTTGCTCATCTCTGAATCCCAAGTATAGTAACTGGAATGTGTGTGTAACTGAGTGAATTAATTATAATCAGTTCAGACATTTCTTTCTCAAAACATTTGAAAAGTTGTCTTATGTCCTCCGTGCTCCATAGGATAACATTCATAATTTGTAATAAAACAATTGTAAGTTGTGCTACGTAAATTTCCTTTTAAGATAAAAACATGCATTGGTTTGCTAACCAGACACCTTGAGTCAGTTAAAATTATACTTACAATTTCAGTTAAAAACAACAATAATGAATAATGGCCTAGAATAATTGAGAAGGGGTGCTGTGAAGTTACATAGACTTTGTAAACAAATGTTGTTAGGTTCAAATTTCACTCTGTAACTTGGATGTTATGTGAAGTTGGATAAATTATTTAACCGTTCTGGCCTCACTTTTCTCTTTCATTAAAATTTTGCGAAGATTTACTTAGTCAGTGTATATGCAATGCTTTGTGCCTACTTGGTAAATAAAAATTGTAGCTATTGAGTTTTTCTGAGGGTTCTCATTTTTTAATTTTCAGTGGACTGTACTCTTGTTACAAGTACCACATTTTGTTTATTCATAAGTCAGAACATCATAAATGTTTTGAATGAATACAGTAAATTAATATTTAATCAACTATTTGGTGGCTCTTCTGCATAATACTACACAAGGTTTTGCACCATATGATCTTGTACCTGATGTGTATTTAGACATTATCATAGCAGTCAGTGAAAGCAGAAATAGGGCATTTTATATCACTGGAATAATTTGTAAAGCCTTTGATGAATCAAGGCTTTGTCATGATAATTAGGGAATTCTTAAGAAATGGTAATCTTAAGTAACTACACATTGGATGGAGACTTTATTACCATGCATTCACATATAGCCATATTCTTGATTAGCTACATAGTGATTTTTACCATTAGGACATTTTTTTCTCATTCACTTTCATTAACACAACTTTAGCTGATAAGTGGCCAAGTCTTTTTGAAAATTTCACAATAAAAACTATAAATCCCCTCTGTATTTTGTAATGAGGAAAGCTACCAACAATGAAGAAGGGATTTCTTTTTAATAAAAATATTTGATATATCCACCAGAAAGCTTTCATGTGGTAAATATTAGATTTACAACTTCAAAACATATTCAGCATATTCAGATGTCTATCACCAGAACTATAAATACCATGGATAAATTTGAAAGTAATTTATACTTTTAAATGAGAATCATTTTTTTTTCTCAGAATTATTTTAAAGCATCTCTTTTACTAAATAATTTAACAACTTATCACTTTATGCACATCTCAGAAGTATGCTACATTCTCTGGATTTGGATTCCAATGTGTAACAGATTTTTTTAGGCTTACGGAATCAAAAAATCATTCCAAATATTGTAATAAGCTAAGAATATTGCCAAAATATGAAATTATACTTGGAACCAATGTTTCAAAAACTCACGTGTTCATTTATGCTTTTACTGACAGAACTATATTTGAAACAAAAATCAAATTACTATCAAGGGGAAACCATTTCCACTGTAAACAATGAAAACTTGGGTTGATTTTCAAGATATATCATTCTCCTTAAGATTATTCAAGGGATTTTTAGACATTATCCTGTTTATAAGAGCACAAACTATTTTAGATTCATGCTGGGCTTAACACTATATGCTGTAGAAAAATAATGTGGTATTTTGATAGGATGAAGCTTATTTTCCACAAGTAAAAGTTAACCCCAAAATGTATATTTTGTAATAAAGCTCATTAGGTGCCTATTTTAATAAAAATAAAGATAAGTCAAAAGTTTGGGCAAATAGCTTGAAAATTGAAATATTTCTTTTCCCTTCCTTCATTTGTTATTTGTTATATTCAAAGATGCTATTGAGTTTCTCAATCTTCTTCATGTTTTTCACAAAATGTAGCTATAAGAAGAGTAATCATATGGTATACCCATAGGACCATTTGGAAGCAGTTGAATGGTATATAAATACAAATTCATGAGATATTTTTTTCTCTCCAAATTAGAGGTTATTGGTCCTGAGGAAGAATTAAAAAATATATATATATAGGCACACACAAAAAAGCTCACAGAAAACCTCTTTATCTTAGAACTTCAACATTTAAACTATAATGTATGGAGTTTTTAATAAAGAATTTGAAACATCCTTGAGTTCTGTATACTAAATGAGTCTTTTTTATTTCAGTATGTTAGCATATATTAAGTAAGGATTAACTTCAGGTATAATATTTGTATTGGCATTCTTTACAAAGTTTCAAAATACACAATATTAGGTCTGAAGTGTTTAATTTTTAAATTATTAAAGTTAAGGCATAAAATTTATGCATGTTTCAAATAAGAGCTTTTCTTTTTTGTATTTTTAAAGTTAACGTGTCATTGGCCTCAAAGTTTTCTCCTTACAGCAGTATAAACTGATAACTGCTAATATAGCTCTTAAGACTAAGGAATAATTTTTATTAAGTTTGGTTCTATGCTTTTTCTAAAAACTCTTGAATACCTGCCTCACTTTTCTAATAAGATACTAGTAATAGATAAATGAATAAATCAGTGTTAGTGATACTAAAAGAAAAACTTGTACAAATATACTGATTTTGACTCTTATGTTGCATTATTTCATGTAAGATGGGAACATTTATTGTAATTTAAAATGTCCTAGTTATCATGGAGAACTAAAAATGTGGAAGTGCTATGAGGTTCTACAACAATCATCTCATCATTTATGACTTCCAGGTATTCTATCTCCTATAAAAGCTTAAGAATCACTGACTTAGCATTCATGATGGCTGTGTCTAAATATGCAAATAAAATTCTAAGCCACTAATAACTGATCATTCCAATTTTTAATGGTCCATTAACATGGTAGCATAGAGAGCAAGTGATTAAAGTATCAGTCCTGGCTCTTGTACTTCCAACTCCAAGGCACACAATAGATAAGAATCTATTTCAAATGACTAAACCATGTAGATTATTTGTCATTATATTCAATAATATTAAAGTACCTAAACACTACTAACTGCCATTCTAATTGCTGAAGTCTTGGAGGTATATCAATATTGAGTAAGAGCACAGTTGCTGAAAAATTTGCTACCTTCCTTGGCTCATTTTAAACCATAGACCAATGACCTTTCCAGATAATTTTCATTTCTTATGAACCATTACCAAATAATAATAACATTACAAAACATATTTTCTTTTCTCATCTAAATTTTATTTCTAGTATTTTTTGCTTTCACCCCTTTCCCTGCCTGAAGTCCCACTCCCTGCAATCTATAGCTCACTCCTAATTTTTATTGATATTATAGCCCTGTGAATTTTAAAGAACAATGGTAGTAATCACACTGGATTGAAGAGTCAGGAGAACTTCTTTTGTTTCCTGGATCTGTTTGTAAATAAATTACATGATTAGGTAAATCTGAGTGTCAATTTTCTTAAAAGGAAAATAGAAAAAATAATGTCTCAAAAGACTGCTACAAACATTAAAATGAAATTATATAAATGAGAATTGTGAACTATAAAGTATTATATTCCAATATTTGCTAATATTATTGTGACTTTCATAATCTATATATTACAGCACATTTCTAAAATTTTGGACTCCTCCTTTGGACACAAAAACAGTATTTCTGGACAGAATTGTAATAGATTATTCTGCCAAGTAAAGTAACAGAATGAGGCAAACATTTGGATATGCCTTTTTTGTCTTGGCAATTCTCTTTTAAATATGCAAGATTCTGATTAGAATTTTTATGTTTGCATTGAGATGCTCAAAGCCTAAAATTTTTGAATTGTGGTATTTTATACTTATTTAGCCATGCCTTTTTCTTTCAACCACTGCCATTAAAATAATTTTTTTCATACTGAAATTATTAAACTGTCAGCTATTTTTATATAGGTTTAGTTGGCCTCTAGCAATGATGTAAATTAATTCTAGCTAATAAACCTAGTATATCATTGATGAATGGACTTAAATGGTTCTCAATGCTCTATTTTTATGTCCCCGGTATCAACCCAAATGGTGCTCTTAAATTGCTTCATTTCCAAGATATTTCCATGTTAAGAACTTCAGACATATGACATACAGAAAAACCTGGTATTATTCTATTCATCAAGAATTCACCTAGAAAATCTTGTTTTGCAGGTGAATTAGGCTTCCACTAGGAATTAGTATAAGTCATAATGACTAATCTTACATGATACATTTGTTTATTTTCCTCTGAAAAGTTAGATTATATACTTCCTTGATGCTAAAATAATATAAAACATTTCTTGCTGGCTTTGTTTTTTCTGTGCTTAGCTTAACACAGTGCATGCACTATAATAGAGTGTCTCTTGAGCCTTTACCAAAAAATTAACTAAAAACATGTCAAAATAAATTAGGATATTTCATCTTCATTTTTGATTGTTTTCAGCACTGAGTCTTCTCCCAAAATTTTACATAGTTCATTGAGTCTCTGCTGCATTTTGGGAATTCCGGCTAGCTGAGATTCTAGCTTTTGTTTTTCTTCACTCAATGTTAAACGGATAGCAGTATCCAATTGTTCAAAGCGCCAACCTCCTTCACCATCAAATTGTAATAAATGAGTATGGTATTTCCTGCATAATTAAAATGAAATAATATTATTAGCTACAAATATGAAAAACCATTTTAGTTATTGGTTTATAATTCTAACTGATATGCAAAGGTAAATTTTAAGTAGAGGTGCCTATTTTACATTTGATTTTCAAGCATATCTCAAAAAGTTATATACTGTAATTTTTTAAAATACAAAAATCCAATACCTAGGAAGTTTTACTGACTTTTATCATTTATATTCTGAGCATATGTGAATTAAAAGAAAGACTATGCTGTTACATGTATTAATTTACCTTCACAACCTTTTTGGCTCCTGAATAAATAATAAAGCATTCTTAGAATGGAAGTAAGAAAAGGAAACTGAGGAAAGAAAGTAAAAATTAAAAAGATCATGCAGAGACAAACTTCTTGGAAAATAAAATACAATAGTAATTCATGAATAATCCTTCTTTTGGTAGAAGTTCTACATAATTAAAAATTTCTCAATAATTGAAGTTTAGAAACACTTTTTAAAAGATGAAATCTTTGACAGAAATATTTTAAAAATACTTCTATGTCTTCATATAATCTCTTTTATCATGGTTCAATTGCATATTTAGGAATTGCACATCAGTATAGAGATTATTATTGATGAGATAAGAGACAATGTATCTTCTCCTAATGGGAGTCTGAAGTCACTAGTCTCTGGGATTTGTGGGAATTGTGTGGAGAGAGTAAATTTAGCAGAGCTGGTTCCCATAACTGAGCTACCCACATTTTGTCAACTTGCATTACTGCCCCACATTTTTTTCAGTTTTTCTTTCTTTGTAGTTTTTTTTTTCTTGTTTCCTAGTTAGGTCTCATCTATTTTTATTTCCCATAACTAATGAGCCTTTTCAATAAGTTCCTTTATTCCAAATTAGGATGTAATTTACATGTCATAAATTTACCCTTTATGTAAAATTCATTGATTTTTAGTATATTCACAAGCTCATCTAACCATCACCATTATGTATACTTCCAGAACATTTTCTTCAACCCTCAAAGAAACCATATAACCATTAGCAGTAACCCCATTCCCCCTCTCACCTAATTTCTGCCAAGCACTAATTTCCTTTCTGTCTTTATCAGATTTCCCTTGACTGAATATTTCATATACATGGAATCATACACTACATTGCCTTTGTCACTGGCTTCTTTCACTTATCAAAATGATTTCAAGGTGCAGCCAGTTGTAACATGTATCATTACTTCATTCATTTTTATGGCTAAATTATATTTCATTGTATAGAATTGTAGAGTTTATTTCTTCTTCAAGTAATAGACTTTTGAGTTCTACTGCCTCCATTTTTTTTTTTGTGTGTGTGTGTGTGTACTGGTGATTGAACTCAGAGGCACTTGGCCACTGAGCAACATCCTCAGCCCTATTTTGTATGGCTTTGAACTCATGATCCTCCTGCCGAGCTCTGGGATGATAGGCGCATGCTGCCACATCTAGCTTCTATTGCCCCCAATTTGTTAAAATATTTTTTAAGTTGTAGATGGACACAATGCATTTATTTATTTATTTATTTTTATGTGGTGCTAAGGATCAAACACAGTGCCTCACATGTGTTAGGCAAGTGCTCTACCTAAGCTCCTGACCCCAATTTTTTGCTGTACTGAGGATTGAATTGAGGGCCTCATGAATACTAGTTAAGTGTTCTACCACTGAGCTATATCCTTAGCCCCCACGACTTTTGACTGGATGTTTATAACATGCTGTAATTATAAAAGGAAATTTAACAAGGTTAAAGTATAGCTAAAAAAGTCACCATTGAGCTGAAAGTTTAAATTCAGCAATTTGATTATGTATGACACAGATTAATTTTTTCCATGTGCTTTAGGTTCTTGAGCTTTCCAAAAATTTGACCTCCCAATGGATGGAATCATATCAAAAATTAATTGAAAACAATGTATTTCTAAATCAAGGAGAAAATTTTAAAAAATCTTCTACTAAAATATGGAAGTAAAAACCAAAGTAATGGAAAAACAAAAACAAAAGAATAGTATATAACATCAAATAAAAGAAAAAGTAATGGCAGAAAGTTCATTTTGTTATATGTAACAACAAATTCTACCATCATGTATAAGTATAATGCACCAATAAAAAATGTGGAATAAAAAAGTACATATTGTTTATTTCATTCTCAACTTTCCTTGGACTTTTCTAGCCTTAGATTTATAGCCAGGAGTAATTTTAGAATGTGGTCATTCATATATTGAGCAAGTTCTACCTTCAAAGTATAATGAAGGTTTAACTCATCACTCTGGTCCTACAACATTACTTGATTTCTACATGGGAGGAACAAACAGTTCAGTTGTTTCTTGCCCTGAGATTCAAAGGCATGTTCTATTTTATGAGTTAAAATAATATTTCAAGGTCATAAAGTTGAAGTGATTAAAAAGAAACCACTATTTTAACTGAGACTCTTTGGAGATAATCTGTAGGCTTCCTTCACAAATAGGATAAAGTATAGAAGTCAAATAATTTAATAAGCTTATGATTGTTTTACTTTTTTAGACACTGGTTTTGATTTTAATCTTTTTTTTTTTTTTTTAGAGGAGGAAAAGTTTATTTGAGGGATCAAAGTATCAGAAGTCTCAGTCCATTGACAGCTGGCTTTATTCCTCAGGTCTCCAGGTAAGGCAGAACAATATGGAGGAAGAATGTGGCAGAGGGAAGAAGTTCATATGATGATTGGGAAGCAGAAAGATGCTCCACTTGCCAGATACAAATATGTACCCCAAAGGCATGCCCCCAATGCCACACCTCCTCCAGCCACATCCTACCTGCCTTCAATCACGACTCAATTAATCCCATCAGGTGATTAATTCACTGATTGGGTTAAGGCTGTCACAACCCAATCATTTTCTCTCTGAACCCTCTTGCAATGTCTCACATGTAAGCTTTGGGGGGACTCTTCACATCCAAACCATAACAATCTGGCTTTTTTTGTTTGTTTTTAAAGAAATTTGTTTCTTTTCTTTTCTTTTTTTTGAAATTCAAGACATACACCTCTTTTGGCTCTGTATGTTGCAAATGCTTTCTCTCACTTCGTGGCTTGCTTTTTATATCCTGTTAATGGTGGTCTTTGACAAAAACTCCAATACAGTCATATTTATCAATATTTTCTTCGTGGTTCTGTGTGGTTTATGTGTCCTATTTGAGAAATCTTTCCCTATATTAAGGTTTAAAGAAAATACAAAATACATATTATTATAAAAATACCTTTATAATAAGAGCTAACATTCAGTGGAACAAATTCTTCCACATATTTATTTTTCTTTAGGTTATAAAGGTTATAAAGCAATCAAATTTTCCCAATTTGATTGCTTTGTATTTCATATTTAGTTATATAATCTACCTGAAGTTGACTTTTTGTGTTTGGAATGAATAAGTTTCATTCTGTTCCTATCTATATCCATAAAGATATTAAATTGTTTCAACACCATTTTTGGAAAAAGGCATTTCACCCCCCACTGTTCTGTAATGCCATATTTGCAGTAAATTGCATGCCATATGTGTATGAATTAGTTTCTAAGATTTTTAATATATGCTGTTGAGCTATTTTTTTCTACTCTTATGCTGTTGTTTTATATATTAAAGACTACACCTTTATAATAAGAGCTAACCTTCAGTGGAA